AGGCTAGGTGTAGATCTTTCCTACCAGAAGATCAGGGGTGTGGTAAAAAGACAGCTGTAAGAAAGAGTCAAGGAGTAGCAGTAGAAAGGCTGCAGAAAGAGTCAGGAGCCCAGAGGAGGTGGCAAAGGAGGTGAAGGGGTGGGGGCAGAAAGAGGAGACGAAAGCAGACGACAGAATATTGCTTGAGAGCAGGAAAGGAGGTGAAAGGAGACAATTTAGAAAAGAAATTTTTTCGGTCACTACTCGGATTCGAACCCGGGACCTTTGAATGAAAGGCCAACACCTTAACCTCTAGGCCACGAGAGCCCCCGCTCCTTCTGTTCTATTAAACAACTATCATTCTTATTTCTCCTCCTTTTTTGTGTGTTTGTTTCTCTAATCTTCAGCTCTTTTACGACGCATTTGTGTTGCAAGTGCTGTAAAACTCTTACCAAACTGATGTCTGTGGTGAAGCGTCAGGTGCTTTGCTGTCGCACGCAGGAGCTGTGTTCGATTCCGAAGTGGGGAGAATTAATTTTTATCAAGTACAGTGCAGCTGTCTATAACTATAACGAAATCATCGGGACCAGAAAAAAATGTCCTTATGGAGAGTTGTCGTATAGAGAGTAAATCAAAAAGTCGCTAATGATATAATTTTAAAATATAAATATAAGGAAAAAGTGGGGACCTGGGCACCATGTCGCTATACAGAGGATGTCGTTATATTGAAGGTCATTATAGACGGGCGGCACTGTTTCTCGATCTTTCTGCTTGGATGTTGTATCCCTCTCAGCCCTGGCTGGCCATGGCAGGCAGTCAGAAGCCCGCCCTTTTAAATGATCTAAATTATGTTGTTGGGGGCGTAAAAACCACCTACCGGTACATTAATATTTAAAAAAAACAAAAACAACAACAACCATAAATCCTAACTATTCTTATCACCCCCCCCCCTTTAAAACCCTTTTTAAAATATAGAAAAGAAAAAACAGCAGGTCCCGGGTTCGTCGAAGTCGAATCTGGGTAGCGCCGGAATTTTTTTCTCTCTAATATTATCTCTCCTGCTCTCTAGCATGTTCTGTCTTCTGCTTTCGTCTCCACTTTCTGCCCCCACCCCCTCACCTCCTTTGCCCCCTCCTTTTGGCCCCTGACTCTTTCTGCAGCCTTTCTACTTCTACTGCGGCTCCTTGGCTCCTTCTCACTGCTGTCTTTCAGCCACACCCCTGATCTCATGGTAGGTAAGGTCTACACTTAACCTTCTCGGACATGGACAAAAAATCTCCGATGTCCCGTGTGCAAGTTGCGCACGTTAAAAATCCCTTGGTGGTCTAAAATCGATAAGAGTAGGTTTCGGCCGCCACCCGAGCAAAATTCAAAATTTCCTACCAACTGAAAATAAAAGTCTACACGTCTCTGTAAGACTACTATCAGCAGATTCATGGCCCTCTATTTTCTGTATCTTTATATCGCACTAAAAGAGAAATAGTAAAAGTAAAGCAGCTTTTAATTACTGTAGACCACTGAGACACAAATCCTCATGACCAGTCCCACCACTTGCCACCTGAGCACGGGTGAAAGTGACAAGAGACGGTTGAGTCTGAACATTCTGTTGTGAGAGAACAGATAGCCTGAAAAGTTCGTGGTGAATTCACGCGGCCTGAGGGATGGGGTAGGCTTCTCAATTTTCAAGGGATGCCATCCATTTTCCAGGGGAATCTTACACAACAATGACAGCACGCGTTCTATTTAAATAGATCTAGAAAAAAATCAACAGGCAGTCTTTGTAATGTAGTAGGCTACACAAAATATAGGTCCAGTTTGTAAAATCTGCTAGCAGAAGGAGTGCTATGGGGTGTCATGACCGCTGAACAGGTCTGCCAATAATCCTGCCCACCACCCTATGAGTGGCTCATTCAGCCTGCAACAAGTTGAGCTTGTATCTGTTGGCCTCTGTCCCAAAACCTTGGCCCGGATTCCATAAAGTTCTGGTTTAAAGTAAAGAGCAGTAAGTCGTAAGGACGAGGTGACAATCGGCCGGGCACCTACCTGTAATAAATTCTCTTTCTCTCTCTCCGTCTCTGTCACTCTCTGTCTGTCTCTCACTCTCACTTTCTTTCTAGATCTACCTCTCTTTTCCCTCCCTCTCTCTCCTCTCTCTCCTCTCTGTCTGTCTGTCTGTCTGTCTGTCTGTCTGTCTGTCTGTCTGTCTGTCTGTCT